ACTAAATTGTGGTTGGGAATCAAATTTAAGGTTTGACCATACGAATTTAAATTATAGTCAATTGGAATTTTAAAAACATAGCCAAACTTAGTTAAGAATTAATACAATTAATTTATGAGCTTCTTAATCTTAACAAAATAAAATAATTAATTTAACTATAAACTAGATAATTTAAAATTATAACCATAATTTTAAACTAACTAATTCAATAAAAATAAAAAAAATTTGAGATGATTTTTTTTTGAATATTTATAAAATATACTAATTATATATAATTATATAGAGCATATATATTATCTAAAAATTATAAAAAATGACAAACTATTTAAAATGACTTGCAAACTATATTATTATTTTTTGGAAATTTTATAAAACTAATTATTTTAAATCGTTAGAAATTGAAGAAGCTCGGAAATTAATTATATTGTGAAGGATCAAAATTGGATGTCAACACGTATTAAGTAGAATCTAATCATATATTAACCAAAAATAAAAAGAAGCAAATCATAATCAATTGCGTATGATTTTGCTATTACTTCTTGTTGGTCAAATAACAGATTTCAGCCTACTCCATATATGTAATGTCAATATCTTAATCATACTTCGGTAGTCAAACAAAATCTCCCTAGCTATTTGCGTAGGGAGGCACTCATATGAAGCGTTTTAACCATTAATGAGTGATAAGCACCCCTCACTTTCAACCCGAAGGTTGTGAGTTCGAGTCACCAAAGGAGCAAAAAGGGGTCGGAGCTCCAAGGGAAGGTTAAAAAAAAAAAAAAAAGAGCGATAGTTTAGGCATGAAATTCACAATCTCAATAGATTAGGTATGAAATTCAAAATAAAGAAATAGTTTAGATGTGTTTTTGATAGTACTCACTACTCAACTCTTTGTTTTTTTAAAAAGATGTTATTTTATATACATATTTTCTAAAACTGTATTAATACTAATTATTGACACACACACGTCATAGAGGTTGAATGGTGTGCTCGGTGGAAATCTCAATTATTTACACAGAAGAACAAGGATCAATTCTCACTTAATGCAAATAACATGAAAATTCAAAGAATTTTTTTCTTTACTAATCTTCTCAATACGTTAGGTTGCTAAATAATTTTTTTTATTAAAGTACTCTAACTTTGATCGAAATTGTTGTTACGATACCAAACTTATGGAGGACCTTTTACCCCTGCACTATTTAATAATGTATTTTAAAGGTATATATGTGCCACGTGGACACATTACTATTTATAATGATGCAATATTTATGATATCCACGTGAGCATGTACCTTTAAAATACACTATTAAATAATGCATGGGGTAAAAAGTCATTTTCAAAGTTCGATATTGTTACAGCAATTTCGGTCAAAGTTCGAATATATTTCAGACATTTTTCCCTTCATTGAATGTAGCAATAATTTATTTTTAAAAAAGAACTTGCATAATCTTACACGAAAGTATATTTAAATGCATGATTTTCATTAGGGGTGTACAAAATCGAATCGAAAACCGAACCAAACCGCAAACTGAGTCAACCCGAAAAAAAACTAGACTAGTGGTTTGGTTTGACTTGGTTTGGCATTGGGAAAAAAAACCCGACTATATTTGGGTTGGTTTGATTTTAACTAAAAAAAAACAACCCGACATTATATATGTAATTTTAAAATTTTATTTTATACAAAAAAATATTTACTTTGATATAATTTTAAAATATTTCTTATACTATTTCATAGCTTTTATCTTTTAATATATTATTTCTAGTTTAAAACTTAGAATTCGGAATGGTCCAATAAAGATTATAGTTCATAGATGTTGATAATTATAATAAAACTTAAATCAAAATCAAATTAATACTAATGCAAAAAGAAAATCAATTCAACACTAAGAATGACAATAATATTGAATATTTGTTCTTTAGTTTTACATTGTTTTAGACAATTAAAATACATAATCTAATTTTAATTTTCCTTAAATATTTAGTAATGTAACTAATACTTATTAAACTTATTTTAGCATGATTTAGTACTTTTAAATTGACTTTGCAATATTTATTTTATATGATGATTTCATTATTATTTTTTATTGAATATTTTTGTGTCATCAGTACTAATACCATATTTTGTGTTATTTTTTTAAGAAACACCTTAGATAATTGTATTTTGGTTGGACTAAAGAAATATTTGGAGCACAAGTTAATTATATATTTATATGCAAACTTTACCGAAAAAATCCAAAACTTTGAAAAAACTCGAGGTTTATTAGTTTGGTTTGATTTATAAATTTAAAAATTCGACACAATGGTTTGGTTTGGTATTTGAAAAACCCGAACCAACCCGAGGTTGAAAAACCCGAAAAAATCTGAATTTTATTAGTTTGGTTTGGTTTATAAATTTAAAATTTTTACACAAATGATTTGATTTGATATTTGAAAAATCCGAACCAACCCGGTCATGTATACCCCTAATTTTCATCTCTACTTCGACAAAAAATACATAAAATCCCTCCCGACCTGAACATTCAAAGAATCATAATCAAAATTTATTTCAGAAAAAGTATATTAAATCCAATATTAATAAACAGTACAGGCGTTTGAAAAATCTAGTTTTACGAATAATTTTTTAATGATCAATCCAAGTGATACACTTTTTTGATTCTATAAATTATTTTGAGTCCGTCAAATCATGAAATAAAATTCACACAATTTGAGTTTTTTGAAAAAATTCAAGAAATATCTATGGAAGGGCCAAAATAATTGTATTTGGGTAGCTGACGGATGAGAATATTAATATTAATTATATATTTTCTAAAACTGATATAATATTAATTATTGACACTCATACGTCATAGAGGTTAAATGGCGTGCTTGGTGGAAATCTCAATTATTCACATAGAAGAACAAATATCAATTCTCACTTAATGGAAATAGCATCAAAATTCGAAAAAAACTTTTTTCTTTATTAATCTTCTCAATATGTTATAAGGTAATTGCTAAAGAATTTTTTTTACTAATTTTCTCGATATGTTTGATTATTTTATTGATAATTCTGTTTTCAATCTATGATACCTTCATTCATTGAATGTAGAAATAATCCAAAAAAAAATGCATAATTTTACACGAAAGTATATTTAAATGCATGACTTTCATCTCTACTTCAACAAAAACACATAAAACCCCTCTGTTGAACATTCAAAGAATCAGAATAAAAAATTATTTCAGAAAAAGTACATTGAATCCAATATTAATAAACAGTACAGACGTTTGAAAAATCTAGTTTTATGAATATTTTTTAATGCTTAATCCAAGTGATACACGTTTTTGATTCTATAAATTATTGAGTCCGTCAAATTATGTGTTGTGGCATTTTAATAATATTATACATTTTAATATTATTATACTTATGCAAATGCCATTTGCTTTCCGGCTAATAACACATTATTTGCGTTACTACCGTTTGGCATGCAGTTGATGACTTTTGATGTCATCTTTATTATCAAGTTTCAAACGTTTAGTGAATGTGTAATGGTACTTGTTCGTCGGGTTTCTTGGCAGAATGAGTAGTGGTCTACTATGGCCATTATTTCTCCATATTCAATCTTGATTATCTCACTCTTTATTCCTCCATTATTCTTTGTAATCTATGTAACATATGTAACCTCTAGATCATTTATCTTTTTTTGATGACAAGGGAAACCCGCATCCGCTACCCTTTGGTTCGCACAGGGTAAAACCCCGCTCCTAGTCATTTATCTTCACTATTTACCATCCCCATTATCTTCCTATTCATTGCTAGGAAGACATCCCCAACTATAAATAGTGGTGGTCTTCATTTGGTTTGAGATACACAAAACACAAGAAAAATATAGTGCATAAAGTTTGTCAAAAAGAGAGTTTTTATTAGTTGAAGGGAGGTGTTCTTTTTTGTGGAGCTTTGGACTCAACTCTTGTCCAGAGTAGTTGAGTTATACTTTGCGAAGGCTATTGTATCCTGGAGGGGACAAGTCAAGAGGACTACTGCTGGACCGGTGTAAAACATTTGCTGCAGTGGGCTTGAATCTCCTTAAAGAGAGCGAGATATCTGCGCCTCAGCCTGAAGAGATTTATTTCTTCATTTTTATTTTTCAATTGTAATCTTGTAATTCTGTTATATTGTAATTTTTCACTAACATCATGAAATAATATTCACACAATTTGAGTTTTTTGAAAAAATTCATGACATATCTATGGAAGGGACAAAATAATTGTGTTTGGGTAGCTGACGGATGAGAAATGCTTCTATATATGTCATGAGGAACGCAACTGCAAATAGTAGGCAAATTTAATGAAAATAAATAATTTCACAATATTTGATATGTGACACGTCCACTATGGAGAAAATCAATTTCACTAAAAAGTTTTCAAAATTCAAATTCTTATGCTCAAAAGTAGAAAATTATATTTCAGACGTTACGATCTAAAAGTTATACACAAAATGAATTTGAGAATTCTCTAATTTTCCTTAGATATTTGAGTACTTGAAGACGAATTGCGTATTTGGATTATATCATGGATTCATGGTTCTAGTGGGCAACTATAGGACAATATAATAGATACGTCTTGTGGAATGAAGTGAGAAATTTATGTTTTATAGCAAAAACTTATTAACACAAAAATAATTTTTAGTGACAATAAATATACACAATATTAATAAAGAGTGTTAAAGTTTTATTGATATTAATTAATTGTGATTGGATCCAATATCGCTATAGCATTTAGAGATATTTACAAATAGTGTTATTGTTCTCTAAAAGAACATATTTAGTGACAACAAAACTATTATCATTTATATATTACCCCTAGAGTTCGTTTTTGGTGTAGTGAAATTTTCCGATTGACCGTGGTAAAAACCTTTGTTTGACAATTTGGATCTCTTTCTCTCTCTATATATATGAGAACTTTTAGTTGAAGCTCCAACAATCTAGCAAGAATATCTTTTAAACCATTGAACAATTAGAGAATAATTAATGGCAATATTATTCAACAACGTAGGGATGCTATCTGTGGTCACCTCAAGACCAACTCCAGCAACTTGTTTTTTCTCCTTCAATCGAGGGAAGCCATCATCACTAGTTGTATCAAAAGCCTCCATGAAATCACCTGATGAACCAAATCCCAATACTATCCAACGACGTTCAGGGAATTACAAACCTACTATGTGGGATTTTCAATATATTCAGTCCGTTAACAATCGTTACGCGGTATATATTTTTTTGTTACTCTAATTTATGTCGTATCATTCAGACAATAATTAATTTACTTTAGCATTGTGTGTGTAGGGAGATAAGTATATGGAGCGGTTTGACAAACTGAAGAAGGAAATGAAGAGGAATTTGATGATGATTATTGAGGGATCAATACAAGAATTAGATGCTAAGTTGGAGTTGATTGATAATTTAGAAAGACTTGGAGTGAGTTACCACTTCAAGGATGAAATTATGCAAATATTGAGGAGCGTACATGACCAAACTAGTACTATAGCCACAGGAGATTCATTGCACTCTATAGCCTTGAAGTTTAGGCTCTTGAGACAACATCATTTTCATATCTCACAAGGTACGTACGTAGTCATGTGTACATAACAACAACATATCCATCATAATATCGATCATGAGTGGGGTTTGAGGAAGATGGTGTGTATGCAACCTAACTTCTAAGGGTAGATATTGTTTTCGATGGATCCTCTAAACTCCAAAATCTCCATAGAAACCCCCTAGGAACTTTGTTGTATGCTTTTTCTAGGTCAATGAACATCATATATGTAAGTCCCGCTTCATCTCTCTATAGTACTGCTCCATCAATCTCCTTACGAGATGAGGGACTTCTATAGTTGAACGCCCCAATATAAAATCAAATTGATTTTCCGTGATACAAACACCCTCTTCACGCTCATCTATCTTCACCATAATACGTATGTCGTATATACTAGTTTTAATAATCGCTTCATCATCTTTCAGGTTCATATATTTTAGTTCTTTTGTTCCAAATTCCAACTTTAGGTGACACATGTAGATGTAGTTCAGAATTTGAGGGTCAATCTCATTATGTGATTTTGAACATAGAATTCTGTAAGTTTATTTGTTATTCAAATTTGACCAATGTATGTTTTTCATGTTCTAGATATATTTGACAATTTCAAGGATGAGAATGGAAATCTGAAGCAGAGTATTTGTAAAGACACGAAAGGTTTGTTAGAATTATATGAAGCATCGTTTCTCTCTACGGAAACTGAAACCACTTTGAAATATGCCACAAGATTCACAATGGCACATCTGAAAAATTATGTTGACAATTATGGTGGAGATCAAGATAATGATATACTAATGATGGAATTAGTCCAACATGCCTTGAAAATTCCAAGACATTGGATGATGCCAAGATTAGAGACAGAGTGGTATATAAGCATTTATGAGAGAATGCCAAATGCTAATCCTCTTTTGCTCGAGCTTGCTAAATTGGAATTCAACATTGTTCAAGCAACATACCAACAAGATTTGAGAATTCTATCAACGTGAGACATCTTTTAGATCATTTGATAGTATTATAATTTTCGCGTATTCAAAGTTAAATTCCTTTTTATAACATGTACAATAGAATTTCTCTCATACGTGCATCATATATTTATTTTCACGTAATGTAAAGGTGGTGGAAGAGCACATGCTTGGCTGAAAAGTTGTCATTTTCAAGGGATAGATTGGTGGAAAGCTTTTTTTGGTCAGTGGGATTAGTATTTGAGCCTCAACACAGCTTGTGTCGAAGAATGTTGACAAAAAACATAGCTCTAATAACAGTCATAGATGACATTTACGATGTCTATGGCACTCTTGATGAGTTGGAAATCTTCACTCATGCTGTTGAAAGGTTAGTAATTAACTTTTGATGAAAATCATAATCATTTTTAGTACTAATTTTCTTAATTAATTAATCGTCGTCCTAGTCAGCTTGTTTGTGATGAGGAATTTTGATTACTTGTAATATAAATTCAGATGGGATGTAAAAGCAATGGAGCAACTTCCAGACTATATGAAAATATGTTACCTTTCACTCTTGAATACTACCAATGAAATGGCCTATCATATTCTCAAAGAGCAAGGGATCAATGTCCTGCCCTACCTCACAAAACAAGTAAAACTACTATCCCTTCTTTTACTTGCAAACTTCGAGGCAGAACCAATATTTAAATTTGGTCAATTCAACATTGAAATTATGGATTCAGAATTCAATTATATACTTTATGTAACACAAAATTGGATTTAGTTGAACCGATGAAATCAATGCAACATTGACCCCTGCCCCCAAATCACAAATTAAAACACTATTTAATCCATTTATGTATTTGCAGTATTATTTGAAAGAAGTTACTATTAATTAGTATGCAGATTTATGCAAAGCTTACTTACAAGAAGCAAGATGGTACCACAATGGATATAAGCCAACGCTGCAAGAGTACATGGATAATGCATGGATTTCAGTTGGAATTCCTTTGGCTTTACTCCATGCACTCATCTTTGTCTCCAATCCAATTACCATTGAGACATTGGAATACTTAAACAAATATCCAGACATAATTCGCCGATGTGCAACAATTATTCGTTTAATCGATGATTTGGGGACATCATCGGTATGTTCTTAATTATTATTGATTTAAAATATATAACTTAATTTAGATACTCTATTTGTTTCGTTTTTTATATTTTTAAAAAATAACTTTATTTTTGTTATTTAGTATGAATTAAATAGGGGTGATGTTCCAAAGTCGATGCAATGTTACATGAATGAGAAGAGTGCTTCCGAAGAAGAGGCAAGAAAACACATCAATTTATTGATAAAGGAGATGTGGGAACTAATGAACAAAGACCAAATTAGAAAAGAAGTGCTATTTTCTGAAGAATTCATTAGAATTGTGTTAAATTTTTCAAGAACAACACACTGCATGTATCAGCATGGAGATGGGCATGGAATTCAAAATTCTCACATTAAAAATCAGATTTCCAAATTGCTCTTTGAGCCTCTCATTGTGTAATAATTTCATAGTGTATTAACTATTTAATACCTAAAAAAAACAAAGAGCTCATTCTCTCATCTATTTTGTATTTTCAAACAAAATTAATCACTTGAAAATATATGAACTCACTTTCTCACATTCTGTAGTACTATGAGAATAAAGCAAAGGCAGTTCATTAGAAGGGGTGCTTAATTATTTTATCTTTATTTATGTCTTATGGTATAATTCTTCTTCTTGAATATTTATTCTAATTATGTGTCATAATTGAAGTGTTTATATTGTTCAAGAATAATTACTATTAAGAAAAAAATGAAAAATTTGATTAATTTTATCTACAATTTTTGAAATAACAAATATTTTGAAATAAATATTTTTACTAAGGATGACAGGTATTTTGAAGAAGTACTTAGTATATATATGTGTGATTGAGAATCGATATATATATATATATATTCCTCGAATGATTTATTGATTTTTTATTTATATATATATAGTTTATTCTTCGATCTTTTGGTTTCTTCTGTATGATTTTTTATTTTTGTGAATAGTTTTTTCATGATTTAAGTTGTGTAGGCGTGCAACTGTTTATATATACCTCGACCGGTCTCCCATGGCCCACCTAGGGGAGGTATGTGTAGGTTCGACCAAACCAATTTAAGTTAAAATTCATTTTTTATTAAGAAATTTAGCTAAAATTAATTCAGAATACAATCACTAACACTTAGTAGGCGTTTGGCCATGCGATATCATATCACGATATGATGTTGTGAGATGAAATCAGCGTTTGGACATGCAATTTTACGCTGATTTCATCTCATGATTTCATATCATGAGAGGTGATATCATATTCTCCAAAAACCATGATATGAAATCACCATGTGATTTCATATCATGATTTGAGATATTTTAATACAATAATTGATCCATGAGTTTATATTTTGTTAAAACAACCCCACATTTATATCTACTAACCATTTGTTTCATATGTAAATAAAATTTATAATCACATCATTACTTTTTAAAATTTATTATTCTCACCAATATAAAATTTATTATCACTTTAAATTTGGTGAATATAAATGATAAAGTAGAAATTCATTTGGTGAATATAAATGAGAACAAAGGGAGTAATACTTTTTTTATTTTTCATAATAAAAAAAAAACGTCTTAATCTTATGACTAAGCATAATATTGATAAAAGACAATTTTCATTGGCGGTGCCGCACTTTCTTATTAGAATTTTATTAGAATTTTTTTTTGACTCAAACTTGTGGTAACTTTTTAAAATTTCGTTATTCAATAATATTTAACTATTGATTTTTCTTGTAAATAGTTAGAAGTTAGTGATGTTTGTTAATTTTTATCTTAGTGCATTTAACTTCTAAGTTAATATTTACTCACCAATGTATGTTTTTTTTTCTACTTTATAGGTTATTTGTAAGAGTAGTTGAGAGATATGAACATATCAAGTACAATTTATGTTCAATTTTTTTTAATTAAATTAAAGTTAGATGAAACAATTATTTAACTGAAGAACAAATAACTTTGTAATCATTTATTATGCGATTTTATAATTTTTGTTTATTTGATAAGATTGAATAAACAATTGGGGTTATTTTAATAATTTTACAACTTATGGGATTTTTATGTTTATGAGAAAATATACAACACAAAAATTCCATATCGCATGTCCAAACAAATCTTCAATTTCATCTCATGATTCCATATCATGATACCATATCATGATTTCATATCATGATATCATATCGCATGACCCAAAGTTTAGAATCCATAAAGTTTTTTTTTTAAAAAAAAAAAAAGCAGAAAACTTAAAGGAAAAAAAGTAAGAAATAATTTTAAAATATTCCACAAAAAATAAGAAATACAGTTTTTCGTTATTAAAACAATGTAATTAAGCGCTTGAACCAAATTCAAGAAGGGAAGCATTTACTTATGATTTAATAACTTTCATATTTTTCTATAATCAGCTTCAATACATTGCATATAAGTCTATAAATTGCTATGCATCACCCTTACAAAAAGCCAACAAGAACCAAAATAACATCGATAAGTCCTCGAAGATTGTCACTAGCTTCTCTGAGTTCGGGCACTTCAACCGGTGGTTCTAAAAAATTATTATCACACGTAGAAGGTTCACGTATAGCAGCAGAAGCATTAGCACTCAAACCATAATAGTCTTTAGACTTCAATAAGTTTGGAAATTTTTCAAGAATATTACTTGCTTTATTAAAATTCCCCAAACATAAAGTATATCGCGTCTTTAATTTTGGATCTGTTGTCTTTTTAAGCAACGTGCTAACAAGATTACATGTGAATGTTGCATTCTTTTGTGATAAGTCAATTACGATTGTCATAAGGACTTCAGGATTTGCACCTTTGGATCGAGGATCCTCTCTTAAAACATAATAGCAGACATCCTTGATTACTGTTTTTGAGCAAATCTCATCTATCAAATCAGCTTTCACACTTGTTAATGTGAAGGAGATGAGTAGTAGTGAAACTATCATAAATATGGCAAAGTTATATGAGTGTGCCATTTTGAATGGTCAGATGCTTTTGTTTCATAACTTATGTTGTGATATGCACTTTATATACCCCTTCTTTCAATTGATGAACATGTTAAAGATAAATAAATAATTAATGTGTACAGGACTTTTTAGGAAAAAAATATAAATAATTAAAGTGTACAAGACTTTTTAGGGAAAAAATCATTGTATACTCTAAAGTATCTGATTACATTTAATTTTACAAAACTTAAAAAAGATTGCGTTTGACTAAAACAAACAACATTAGCAAGAAATTTTCAGGATTTTGAACTTTTTCTTTAATTTTTCAAACTAAAAAATTAATAAAAAATATTTTGACTATAAATTTCCTTATTATAGTCATTTATTTCCTTCCTTATTTTCTTACAACTCATTAATTATAGAGATGATTGGCATTTCAATTTTTTCCTTAAATCCCTACAGTTACAGATTTCCATATAAAAAACCCATCCATTTTCTTGCACTCCTAATTATAGGAATATTAAAATATTTAAAAGGAAAACTCCTTTTGGCCAGAATTTGGCTAGAATGTTAAAATAGCATATTTCACATTATGTTATTTTACCTTTTGAATATTTTTACCCTTTTAACTTTAATACATTTTAATTAAAAATGAAAAAAAGAACAGTTTATTTTAAAATAAAAAGGATATTATAGACTTTTTAAATTTCTGGTCAAATTCTTGCCAAATTTTCTGGTCATCCAGCATTACCCTATTTAAAAATAAAACTGATTCTTTCCATAAAAAAACATCCATTTTCTTGCAACTCCTTAATTATAGAGATAATGAAATATTTAAAAATAAAACTGATTCTATTAGAAACTCAAAAGCCTTTATCACAATTTGTATAAAAAGAGGTTTCGAGAAAATTGCATCAACATTGGCCGGAGACAAAAAAAAAAAGAGATAAGAACACACTTGAGGTGAATCTTGTATCAATATATTATGCAATAATACAAAATACAGTATTATATTTTTCATTTTGATTTTCATTACTCTAGCTGCTACATCCATATTATGGTGTTAACTTTTTATTTATTTATTTTTTAAACAATTTCCTTGTAAGTTCACCACAAAATATAGGAAAAGAGAGAAGTGGTATGATTTAACATTTTGTTATTTTTTTTGGTTTTTCATTCGGTGTCTGTTACTCATATTGGAATCCGGCAAAATTCAAATTCACGTCGAGAAATTCCACATTTAAAGGTAAAATGCATCTAACAAAGGCAACTTTGTACCCTACATTTTCATAATTGATGAGTAGAGACATTGTACTCTTCTTTTAATTAGAGTTTTATATTTTTCGTTCGAAATTTGGATTAAGAAATGACATTTCCATGTCCCCTTTAGGTACAAAATGTACCCAAGATTGTAGCCTTGCATGAAGAAGTCAAAGTCCTTTCTATTAAGTAAGAATATAGAGGAAATTAAGAAACCCTTTTTCCTCATTTTTCAAGTTATTTATTTAAGTGAAACTTTTATTTTATTTATATTTTTAATTTTATTTTCAGATTATTAAAAGCTGAAAAAATGTATATAGAGCATATAAGACACATTGATCTTTTTATTTCGTTCTATTCTATTTTTTTTTCTTTGGTTTTGAAAAATCATATGTCCACAAGTTGATTTTAAAAATCACCATACGTTATTAGATTAATAAGTCATCATTTTTTATCTTATGGAATTTATTTTGAATTTGTCATCTTCGAAATTACACTTAAACTTGTGATAATTACTAAGTTATTTGATTACTGAATGTTAATATAAACTTACATTTCTAAATTTAAGTTCTTACGAAAGTATTCTTATATTGATTTAATTCATTTATAGAATTCAATTTGTATGTAAACATATGAAAATAATAATTTAATCCCCTTATATCTAAATTAAATTTACAATAACAAAAAGAATATTTTAAGAATTTGCTTATGTCATTTATGCAGTATAAAGCATGAAAAATATATAAATTGGTCTAAGAATAGGTTGATATGGTACACTCATAATTTGAATAAATTAAAAGATGTAATATATGTGATGTGAGTTATTTGATAGAATATCCTTCGAGGGATATAACATATGATCTAATTTCTCGATTTTAATTTGAATTTACTAACTCAATGGCTTTCTCTTTTATTAGGCATAATATGCATTTTGCAAGTGCTTTTTTTGTTGTTTGGTTTTAGCTTTAGGAGTATGTTCTTAAAGAAGCCTGTTAAAATTATGAGTTCATATTTTGTCATTTTTGTGTGCTCATCCTTTTTTATTTTGTGTGTGTGGTGACATATGATGTAAGAATTTGTAGTGGTAGGATCACTATAGCCTAAATTAATTACTTTAAATTTTTCATCCATTCTCTCCTTCTCCTTAATACAAATCTTTTAAACAATTTGCAAATCTATTAACTTTAAAAGAAATATTTTAAAATTTTCTCCTTAATACAAATCTTTTAAACAATTTGCAAATCTATTAACTTTAAAAGAAATAT